CACACACACACACACACACACACACACACACACACACACGCACACGCACACACACACACACACACACACACACACACACACACACACACATACACGCACATCCCGCGTGGTGCAGCGGTGATGGCGCGGCGCATGCTGGTTGCTGATGCTGCCGGCGGGCTGTTCCGCACAATCAAGCTGCGGCCACGCAGGCCTGACTGCGTTGCCTGTGGTGAGGGCCCAAACAGAATGCAGGCCCTGCTGGAGGATTACGTGTCGTTCTGTCACATGGACGCGTGTGATGTCACCAGCGGCGTGTCCCTTCGTGACCCATCACAACGGCTGACTGCACCCCGACTTCGCGATCTTCTCCACCGCCACCGTGCGCCCGCGACGCGCACCAATGTGCGAGGATGCGTGTGCTAACAACGTTGTGGCTGCTTGATGTTTGGTGTGTGTTTGGTGTGTGTTTGGTGTGTGTTTGGTGTGTGTTGTTGTGATGTGCGTGCGCAGTCACACCGTTTGGTGTTGATTTGCAGCCCACAATGCAACTCTTCGCCCTCTCACCCACTCCTCTCTTCAAACCTCTCAACCGCCACTCCTGCCTGTTGCGCTTGCTGTTGCCTCGCGCTTCGTGTCCTGTTCAGATCATCGACGTGCGACCAGCGGTTGAGTTTGGCATCTGCTCGCTCCCAAACACACTCAACGTGCCCCTCGCCACCATCAAGCGGGTGCGCGCGAATGTGTTGTGTTGTTGTTGTGTTGTGTTGTTGTTGTTGTTGTTGTTGTTGTTGTGTGTGTTGTGTGTCTTACATTCACGTTGCTGCCTCGTGGGGGTGTCCGCTCCTAACCTCACATGTGGCTTATCACTTGATACACTCGACCTCACGTTTGCGCGCGCGCGTGCACGCACGCACGCCACCACCACCACCACCACCACCACCTGCTTCCTGCAGGTGGCTCGGCGCGGGTTTTCGCCGGGGGCAGAAGGAGCCGAGGCCATATTGCAACGCGTCATTGACATGTGTTTGGCGGGCACAGGTGATCGCACGTCCACGTCTGCACATGACAGCAGTTGTGGCAGAAGTCACCGTCGTGGTACCGCTGTTGCTGATAGTGATGACGATGATGGTGCTGATGATGATGGTGCTGATGATGATGGTGCTGATGATGATGGTGCTGATGGTGGTGGTGATGGACGGGCCACGGTTGCCGTGGAGACGACGTCGCGTGTGATTGCGGTGTGCCGGCGCGGGAATGATTCGCAGCACGCTGCCGTGTTGCTCGAGCAGATCATACGCACACACGCGGCCAGCAGCAGCAACAGCAGTGGAGATGGTGGTGATGGCGGTGATGGCAACAGCGCAGCCGAGGTGCAGGTGCTGGATGTCGTTGGAGGCCTGCACGCTTGGTCAAAGGCTGTGGACCCTTCGTTCCCAACGTACTGACGCGATGCGCAGGTGGTGGCGGTGATGGCGGGCGGTGGTGAGTGATGTTGTAGTGGGGTGAGTAAGGCATTCGGCAATAAAAGGAACAACAGTTTGGCAGGTCGAAGGGCCACTGCCTACAGCACACCAAAGCAGTCTCATGAACAACATCACAACAGCAAAGCGTGCATCCACACACACGCACCACAGACAGAGAGACAGACAGAGAGACAGACAGTCAGAGAGACAGACAGTCAGAGAGACACACACACATACACACACACACACACACACACACACACACACACACACACACACACACATCATATTTTTTTTGTGGTGTTGTTGGATATGGCGACCACGCAGCAGCAAGTTGGCAGTGGGAGCGTGCCACGCACGTCTTCCTCCTCATCCCTCTCGGGCGGACGGCAACGAGGTGTGCCGTGCGTCCCCTGTGTCATATGCGCTGTGCGTGCATGCATGCGTGTGCTCTTGTCTGCCGGCTTGTGCCCCATAGTTGTTGGTCCCTTGCTCTTGCTCGGCTGCGCTTGCTCACAGCACCTTGTTGTCTGTCTTGCCTTGTCTTTCTCTCCTGCTTGCTTGTGTGACATGATGCCGTTGCTTTCCTCGACCTTCGCTTCCCTCGATGGCCCCCTGTCACTTGTATCGATGTATGCTTTGATAACCCATGTCTTGGACACCAGCGGGGTCTGTTCAAGGCGGGCCACCGGCTTTCATGCTGACTGCCGACCCACCTTCATCTGTGGAGGAGCTCGAGGTCACTGCACTTCGGGTGCAGAACCACAAGCTCGCTGTCAAGCTGCACGGGCTGACAAAGGTACCGAAGCCTTGGCGTGTTAGGCGTTGCCCATGCTCCGGGAGAGAGGGGGGTGGCAAGTGCGCTGGGGGAAGGTGTCTTGTACTTGCTTGCAATAGCCAGCAACAACCTGCTCATATGCGTATGCTGCTGTGTATGCGACGTTGGCCGTCGTGTGGCAGGATCTCAAGCGTGCGCGAGACGACATTACAAAGCGGGAGGAGACAGACTTGATCGTGCGAACATGTCTGAGGACATTGGCAAGGCACTTTGATGAGGTGCGGTGTGCGCTGGTGTGAGTGTGCGTGTTCGTGCGTGTCAGGTTTAGTTGGTGCGCCTTGTTAATGTTCACATATGAGGGGTCGATGGCGCCCCACTGTACTTCGTGTCGTGTCGTGTGTGATGTGGTGGTGTGTTGCTGCCTTGCCCATTGGTTCACACCGAGCATGTGCTCTGCTGGGTGGCAGTTGGATCTAGAGGCACGGGAGAAGGCATCTCAGCCGAAAGCAGCAAGTAAGCACAACGTGCCCAGTATCGGCACCACTGCTTCTTCCGCGCAAACGTTCATTGCTGCATCAGTGCAGTGCTCGCAGCTACACGCGTCCTCACAAACAAGTGCTTTCTGCCTTTCCCCTGCATTGTGATACTGCGCTTCCCTTCAGGCACCCTGGCTGATGCTGTGGACAATGCCCTTGAAGCCGACACACCAGAAGGTTGTACCATTACAACACAAACAACAAACACACAGACACCCAGCAAGAGCAGGCAAACATACACACGCTCATACCCACACGCACATACCCACACACGCACACACACACACACACACACACACACACACATACACACACACACGCACGCACACGCACACACACACACACACACACACACACACACACACACACAAGCGACGGGCGTGATCGTATCAAAGTGGTGTGCCCCGACACACACAAAC